ATTTTATTTTTATAATTACTGTAATTTATTTGAGATTGTGATTTATTCTTGAAGTGTTTTTTATTTAAAAATATATTAAAATAATAATTTTTTTAAAAAATTTATTTTTGATGTAAATACATCAAAAAATATTTAAAAAATAAAATAAAAAATATTTTTTTATATTAATTTTTAATCGCAAATAAAAACACGTTATTAATTTGATCTCTCTTTAATTAATAAATAAATGCATCAAAATCAATTGGCCCACCAAACCCTACTAGTATATTAATAGGCACGGAATAGAAAGAACTCCGTCGTATGTTCTTGGGCACAGGCGCACAGCTCTAATAAAATAAAAAGTCATTTTTTTTTTAATTTAGTTTTTAATCGCAAATACAAACACGTTATTAATTTGATCTCTCCTTAATTAATAAATAAATGCATCCAAATCAGTTGTCCCAACAAACCCTAATAATATATCAATATGCACACCCCCCTTTAATTAATAAATAAATGCATCAAAATCAATTGGCCCACCAAACCCTACTAGTATATTAATAGGCACGGAATAGAAAGAACTCCGTCGTATGTTCTTGGGCACAGGCGCGCAGCTCTAATAAAATAAAAAGTCAATTTTTTTTTTAATTTAGTTTTTAATCGCAAATACAAACACGTTATTAATTTGATCTCTCTTTAATTAATAAATAAATGCATCAAAATCAATTGGCCCACCAAACCCTACTAGTATATTAATAGGCACGGAATAGAAAGAACTCCGTCGTATGTTCTTGGGCACAGGCGCACAGCTCTAATAAAATAAAAAGTCATTTTTTTTTTAATTTAGTTTTTAATCGCAAATACAAACACGTTATTAATTTGATCTCTCTTTAATTAATAAATAAATGCATCCAAATCAGTTGTCCCAGCAAACCCTAATAATATATCAATATGCACACCCCCCTTTAATTAATAAATAAATGCATCAAAATAACTTGGCCCAGCAAACCCTACTAAGATATTAATAGGCACGGATTAGAAAGAACTCCATCATATGTTCTTGGGCACAGCTCTTATGCTACCAGAGTGCTTCTTCTTGCAAGTTCTAGTGCACTAGTCAGGGTCCACAGGCACCACCATTCCAATGGAGTCATTTTGACAATTTGGGTATCTGTGTTTTTCCTGGTGTGTGCTTTTCCCATGATCGGGGCTGCTAGACGTTGTCCCCTTTGGAATTCTCTCTTCTTCGCTCAACAGTAAGCACAAGTAACTTCTCTCTTTATCTCAAACCCAGCACTACCCTTCTCGAGACATGCCCTTCTAGACGAACTCCAGAAAGGTTTCCCATCCTTTCTCTCTCTGCCTTGCCTTCACGGTCCCTGACACCTCTTTTGTTCCCATACAGAGAGAGGTGCAGTAATGGTGTAAATGACAATAAGGAGAGACAGCCACGTGATAAACCAGAAAGAACCCCAAAATGCTTACTATTTAAGGAACGGCTCTGTTGCGAGTGAAGGCCACAAGACAAATGCCCTTTTGGTTCGGAACGTAAACAAGCCTTTTCACACACACACACACTTGAGCTTTACACTCCCTTGGTATTATCATCTCTCACAACTGGCTAGCTCCAAAAACTCCCTTCTTTTTCACCCACCATGCCTGAAGAGTACTGAGAGAGATGCTAAATTTTTTCTCTATTGTCTTTGTTTTTATCGGATTGCTAGGTAGCCCAGTGTTCATCGCTAGTGCTTCCACTGACGCAATCATATCTTCTCCTTCACCACGTGCTCTTGCCTTTTGCTTAACGGGTATCTAAAGCCCATAGCCTTCTTTGCTCTATAATTCACTACATTTGCATTCCTGTCAGTTTATCTAACCAATCGATCTTGCAGTTTTCCTTAAAGGGTTGTTCATTGTTCCTGTTATTCAAGGCGAATCCTCAGTAGCTAACCAATCTGTCTTACATTATTGTACTACCAATGACTAGAAAGCTGGCCCAGTCTTTCATTTCTAAAAATGGGTTGTTTTGGTTCTTTCTTTTGGTGGTGAATAATTAGTTTGAAGTGATTTTAGTCTTCAATGGCTTCAATTCTTCGGTTCAGAAAGCTATGTTATGTAGAGCCTGTGAAATTTCAGTCCTTTCAACCCCCAAAAAGTGACAAGAAAGAAGAAACTGTTGCCACCGAGGCCGAAACTGCCTTAGAAAAAAACGAGAAGAGGAATAAAAGGCAGCCAAAGGAATGGAGCTGTATAAACTCTTGCTGTTGGCTAATTGGGTACTTGTGCACTACTTGGTGGCTTCTTTTGGTCTTGTATAACTGCTTGCCAGCTACATTTCCAGGCTTTCAGGTCCTTGAATCACCTGGAACAAGACTTAAACTTGAAGGCTTGACAGCTCTTCATCCAGTTGTTTTGGTGCCTGGCATTGTCACTGGAGGGCTAGAGCTGTGGGAGGGCAAGCCTTGTGCAGAAGGTCTTTTTCGAAAGCGACTTTGGGGTGGTAGCTTTGCTGAGGTTTTAAAACGGTTCGTATTGTAACTGAGAATCACATTTTGTTCCATTTCATGACTTAATTCTGATAACCTCTGTGAGTTTATAGTGTAATTTGTGTTGATTGTGTTAGTTTAAGCACGTATTTCTTAAAGCAGAACCAAATTTGGTTCACTTTGTCAAACCCCCTCAGCATTGTGTAGGTACATTTTTTTGGGTCATTTTGTGTTTCAATTGGATTGTAATTGTGAACTTATGTGGGAATGGTATCAAATGTTTTGGACCACCGTGCTGGTTGAATAACCTGTTTCTTGACAGGCGAGGTTATCTTGACACAGTCGAATTACATCGTAATTTTTTTTCTAAATTTAATGACAAAGTTGAATGCTCATTGTAGAGAGTTTTGGACCACTATGTTTAGTTGGAGCCTATCCTTGCTTTATGAGAGTTTCGGTAATCAGATTACTGAATTTATACGTGGACTGTGTTGGAAATTTAGGCCATTGTGTTTGCTGGAGCATCTGGCTTTGCACAATGAGACTGGTCTCGACCCTCCAGGCATTCGACTGCGAGCAGTGCCAGGGCTGGTTGCAGCTGACTATTTTGCTCCAGGGTACTTTGTTTGGGCTGTACTTATTGAGAATTTAGCAAAAATTGGTTACGAAGGGAAGAATATGCACATGGCAGCGTACGACTGGAGACTTTCTTTTCAAAATACAGAGGTATAGAGGTTCTTCCCCTGCCTTTAGTTTTCACTAAATTGGGAGGATTAGCACATTATACTAGTCGTGACTCCGATAGCCAGCTTTTATTGTACATATGCGCCAGTTCATCAAGTGAAGTAGAATAGCCAGCAGTAATCATTGTGTAAATGGTTATAATTTTTCTAGAACATGGTTTTAATTTGAAGTTTCAATAGAGGTAAAGTAGATCATCATGGATATTACGTAACAGTCATGATTTTATCATACATATTTGAAACTTAATACCTTCAGTTATATATTATTTAATAATATGCCAATATACCTAAATTAACTCCAAACTTGAGCAATGTGGAAAAATGCTTTAAAGTTGCTTCAAATCTTTTTCTCATACCACTGAGTTCCTTTTAATCGCAAATTGTCACAATGTTTATGTTAGATTCCTTGAAAAGAGAATGAATCTAACATAAAATATCTTCGTATGCTTATGTGTCCCATTACAAGTTTTCTATGTTATGAAAACAATGCAGAATCATTCTGGTGGTATTCAAAATCCTTTCGATGTTGCAGTTTCCCTCCCTGTTCATGTTTCTAAGATCCTGATCAGCAATTTTGTTTAAGGTTAATTTGAATCGAGTCTCCACTAATACATTTCTAATTGAGGATGAGCAGATTCGGGACCATACACTAAGTAGATTGAAGAGTCAAATAGAGCTTATGTATGAAACAAATGGCCATATGAAAGTGGTAGTGGTGCCCCATTCCATGGGGGTTATCTATTTTCTTCACTTCCTTAAGTGGGTTGAAACACCTCCTCCTATGGGAGGCGGTGGCGGTCCAGGTTGGTGTGCAAAGCACATAAAGGCAATCATGAATATTGGTCCAGTATTCCTTGGTGTACCAAAGGCAGTCAGTAATCTGTTCTCTGCCGAAGCCAAAGACGTCGCATCTATAAGGTTAGTATTTGCAACCTGTCTCTCATTGGATGACATATATCTAGTGACTATATGCCTGGATAGAGCAAGCTAGTACAATTTGTTCAACAGACAACGCAACTAATGTTGCATCTCAGAGTCGGTTATGTAGGTTTTTTCGCATGAAGTTCACAATATTGTAGAATTATAAAATAAGAAAATGTATTTATCTGGAATGCTTTTGTGCGGACAATGCAGAGCTATGGATCCTGGTGTTTTGGATTCTGAGATTCTTAGACTTCAAGCCTTGGAGCATGTCATGCGGGTGACTCGAACATGGGATTCAATAGCATCATTGTTACCTAAAGGAGGAGAGACTATCTGGGGTAATTTGGATTGGTCTCCTGAAGAGCGGCATGCTTGTGATTTATCAAAGAAAAGATACTCGCAAGCTTCTGCAGGTGACAAGGATACAAATGACAGTGATGTGAAGATGGATTTTCACGTGAAAGAATCAAAGTACGGAAGGATAATTTCTTTCGGGAAGGAAACATTGCAGTTATCATCCTCGCAGCTTCCCTCTGTTGATACAAAGGTATTCTTTTACTGATCTTGTTACTTATAACTGTGAGAGTTTGCTAGGTTATAGATAAATATGTGTGGAATCCTTAATCTGATCGACGTTACATTTTCACAAGAGGCCTATAGCCTTGCAGTGAGGCTCCCACCTATGCAAAAACATATTCTTCATTTTCTTGAGAGAGAACTGATGATCACTTGGTGGCGTATGCACTTAACACAAAACAAGATCTTCATACGTAGAACAGAGAGAGCCTTTACTTCCGGCCAAAATTTTGGACTTCAAAGAAAAGAGGCTGCATTTCATGAATAGGTTGCTTCTTTGAAGTTTATTAAAGTGAACAATCAAAGATTGTATCAATTCGCTGATTGGAATTCGTTTGCTTTCTCGCTTAGTCTTATGAAACCCTGTTTCATATCAGTGGAGATCAAGTGATCCTTTAATTTGATTTTGGAGAAATGTTCTTTTCATTTGCATAAATAGATGTTGATAAAGATGCTTTAACAGGAATTTTTGGGCACAAGAACCAACAAGAACACTAACTCAGCATGTGGAGGAGAGGTTTGGACTGAATATGATGAGATGTGCAGGGAAACCATCCGAAAAATAGCAGAAAATAAACCTTATACAGCTAGAACTGTTCTTGATTTACTCCGCTTTGTGGCTCCGAAAATGATGCAACGTGTGGAGAGTCATTTATCTTACGGGATAGCCGACAATCTTGATGATCCTAAATATACTCGTTACAAGTACTGGTCTAACCCACTAGAGACCAAGTGAGTATAACTATCCTTCTGTTTTGTCTCTCTTCGTTTAACCATGCATGCAGAGCTTTTTCACGTTTCAAAATCTTCCGTATGCATTCTTAAATAGAAGACATTTTTTTTAGATAAAGTGGATGGATTTTTTATTTAAATTTTTCTGAAATTCTTCTATCATTGTTTTACTATAATTGCTTTTTGAAAAGCTAGTGTCTTGATGTCCTTTTTTTCATTTAGTGCATAATGTCCAATCTTATGAGTTGAGATTTTTCTCTAAGTGAAGCATAAATCTTAATGGTGTAAACGTTGGGATTCTGTTTCAGGTTACCTGATGCACCAGATATTGAGATATACTGCTCATATGGTGTTGGAATCCCCACCGAAAGATCATATATCTACAAGCTATCACCAAATGATAAGTGCAAGAGCATTCCATTCCGGATTGATAGCTCAGTTGATGGAGATGAAGACAGTTGCTTGAGAGGTGGAGTATGCTTAACTGATGGTGATGAGACTGTGCCAGTAGTAAGTGCTGGTTTCATGTGTGCGAAAGGGTGGAGAGGAGGAACCCGGTTCAATCCATCTGGCATCGCCACACACATTAGGGAATATCAGCACAAGCCACCAGCTAGCCTCCTGGAGGGAAGGGGTCTGGAGAGTGGAGCACATGTGGACATTTTGGGAAATTTTGCTCTAATTGAAGATGTCCTTAGAGTTGCTGCTGGGGCCACTGGTGCCGAAATTGGAGGTGATCGAGTTTATTCCGACATCTTCAGGATGTCTGACAGAATAAATCTTCAGCTATGATCATGTTGCACGTATTGACCCAAATTCACCGTAACGCAGAGAGTTTGCCACAAGGCTTGGAGAGAGAACTAACCAGCATGGAGTTGCAGCATCAAACCTTGTCATAAAAGTGATTAGTAGTATCATAGAGTTAAAGGTTGTGGAGTTCTAGTGATTCCTGAATCAAGGAAAGCAGCTACTCTAGAGGCGAAGGAAAGGTACACAAGACAGCGGAGAAGCATTAGCTTTAGCAGCCTGCAGGGGTTTCCAGCCGAGGTTTGGACATACTAGGCTGTGCGATCGTGTCCTTGTTTTCCTTCTATCATGTTAATAAATTAATAAGAACGACATGAACGATAGGGTGTCAATGTCATGATGAGTACTCCTAAGAATAGTTGGATTGGTTTCTCTCTGAAATGGGTTTCTTGTGTATGATTATTTTAAAAAATATATTAAAATAATAGATATATTAAAATAATTATTTTTCATATTGGTATATTAAAATAATTTAAAAACATAAAAAATATTAATTTAAATAAAATAAAAAATTTATTAATTTAATTTTTTATATCAAGTATTAAAATAATATGAAAATATTAATTTAATATAAAAATAAAATAATGAATCATATTTTTTAAAAGTATTTTTAACTTCTATTTACTGAAAGTGTTTTACTTTACTTCTCTTTCATTGTAAAAAACAAGTCTACGGAAGAATAATATTACTAATAATTATTACAAATAGCCTTCAGGTTGATCGCCAAACCCTTCAAACCTAATTATTTGTGCATTGACTGGATTATTTGTAAGATCATGATGGATGAATATTTTATTTAATGGGAATTATTACAATCAATAGCTGGTGAAGAACCCTAAGAAAAGGTGGACTTGTTTTTGTCTTTAAAAGTTGTTTATAAGGCGCGGTAGTTTATTGGAATTAATATAAAAATTAAATTTTAAGAGATGAAATTGAAAAATAAATATTCAAAACAAAATATATATAGCAATCATAAGTTTAAGGATCAAATTTAATATAATCAATATATAATGATATTTTTAAAATTTTCATAATTTTTTGAAAGTATTTTCCGTGCAAATTTTTCAGGAAAACACTTTCCTGAAAACCAAGTCAAATTTTCCTTCGACTGGAAAGTGTTTTCCGTTGACAAACTTTCCTAACAGTAAACAAACACAAGAAAGTTTGGAAAGTGATTCCCCGAAAATCATTTTTTGAAAAACAAACACAGCAAAAAAAAAAATATTTTCCTTAAAACTAAGGCAATTTTTTTTTACTAAAAAATGTTTTTCGGTGATTAGAAAGTATTTTCCATTAACCAACTTTTCTAATGACAAATCAACACTTCTAATGACAAATCAACACGTGAAAGTTTGAAAATGGTTTTCCGGAAACTATTTTTCAGTAAATAAACATGGCCTAAAAATTGATTGAGTATGTGATAGTAGTTATTTTTTAAAATATTTTTTTTAAAATATATTAAAATAATATTTTTTATTTTTTTAAAATTATTTTTGAGATTAGAATATCAAAATAATATGAAAATACTAAAAAATATTAATTAAAAATAAATAAATAAATAAAAATCTATTTTTTTAAATACTATTGAAATGCAAAAACAAACAAGTTCTAATTTATTATTTATTTCTTTTGTTTTTTATATCATTATGTCAAAATAATCTAAAAATATTAAAAAAATATTAATTTTTTTAAAATATAAAAACAACCATACTCTAATTTATTACTTAATTATTTATCTCTCTCTCTCTCTTCTATTTATTGAAAGTGTTTTACTTTACTTTTCTTTCACTGAACAAAAAAAAAACCCCTACGGAAGAATATATTACTAATAATTATTACAAATGGCCTTTATCTCAAACCCTTCAAGCCAAATTATTTATTTTCTGATAGTATAACCTTTTTGAAAAAAATATTTTAATATATTTTTAAATATAAAAAAATAAATTTTATTATATTTTCAAATATATCCTTCAAACAAATCATGATATCACAAGTTTTTATTTCACGTTAAGCTAGTTTTACAGATTTCAAAATATTTTTTATTTAAAAATATATTAAAATAATATTTATTTTTTAAATTTTATTTTTATATAGTACATAAAAATAAACTAAAAAAATAAAAAATTAATAAAAAATGAAAAATTTTAAAAACATTTCTGCACCTCATAAACAAATGGTGATTTTAGAAAGAAAGAAAGATTGGTACAGTTTGAGAGAAAACGGTCAGCTTGAGAAAGTAACTGGTCCGGTTTGAAGAACAATTACAGGTAAAGGGACCAAAGTAGCAAGAAGGAACAATTACAGGTACCAAACGCACCTTACCCCACATCTCTATTTGTCCTTCGGGTAAAATAACGTTTGAATAACTCGCCAACACAGTAGAGTAGAGAAGAGAGGGAAGAGGAGGAATCGGTGGAGACCAGGAGATGGATTACAGCCTAGCAGCGCTTAAGCTGCTCTGCGTCCAATTGAAAGACGCCAGCGAGACTCCTTCTCAAAACGCCTTGACTCTCGGCGGCATTCTCTTTCAACGTGCCTGGTTACAGGTTCCTCTTCTTTTTATCGGTTCCCCATTTACCCCTCTTCCACTTCCCTTATGTAATTCCTCTCTGCTGTTGTTCTCAGGGGATTCTGGTCTCCAACGATGGTGACGGTCGTCTCCTTCTCGATGACGGCACTGGTGTCATCGAGCTTTGCCTTTCTGCTGACTTCCGTCTCCGTCACTGGGACTTGGGTATCGCTTTTCCGTTTCTATTTAGCTTTTCTTTTGGCGCATTTTAGCATATATTGGTGCATTTTAGCATGGACCGCTTTGTTTTTCTTGGGTCTATTTCTGAATTTTGGATTGTACAGGGATGTATGTGATGGTAGTTGGAGGGTACTTTGTCCGTCATGGCGAGACCCCTATGATTAAGGTAAATTCACGAATTGATCCCCCGAGTTTTAATCAAATACTTGCGAACAATTCGTTTTTACATTGTTCAATAGAACTTACTACTTGATCCACCTATTTTCTGTCAAATACCTGCAAAGAATACATTTTGTTTAGACTTTGATCATGTGGATAGCGGTTTATTTTCAAATTTTAGGTTCATAAGATGGTCGATCTTTCGGCATTTCCGGATCGAGAAGCAATGTGGTATCTTGAAGTTATGGAGGCATATAAGCTCTTTTACCAGCCCTTAATTGAAGAGTTTATGTGATTGCTTAGATTGTTTGTTCAGACAAAGGAACTGCCGTTCTAGAACTGCGAAATTCTTGCAGATGTATTCATGTTAATTAGTCTTGAAATATCCTGCAAGTCTGAGTTATGGTTTATGTGCCTGTGCTAACAATCTCTTCTAAACCACTATGAAAATTGGGCAAACTAGAATACATGGAGGATAAAATGTGCAAGCCTGATTTCCCAGATTGTATCATAAATTTGCATGACCTAAACTGCACCAGAGATGCTATAGTTTTACCATTTGATCGTTTCCACTTTTAAGCATGGTTGCATCGGGCAGGATAGACATTTAGGGGAAGGGCATCCCATCACCACAACACCTCCAGGAATTGGATTGTTATTTTAACAAATTCCAGCAAAACTCCTGGGAGGGTACGAATTCTTGCATCAAGACTGGCAATAGCCAACTTTATAGAGCTGGGATCAATTATTTCACCACACCTGATCGTTGGATTTCATGTTTCCTCACGGTCCAGAGAGATTTCATCTTAGTTACAGCATGTAGCCATGCACCGAGGGACCCGTGTTGTGTTCCTACCGCATGAGATTCCCTGAGATATTGGGGCATTAATGGAAGTGTTGCACGCACAAACAATATGGAAGATGGACCACTGATTAAGAATACTGACTATTCTTATGAGCTGCATCAGAGTTGAGGAGAAAAGAATAGAAGAACGTAGAGTATGATGTGCAT